TCAGCGAGGCTGCGGGAGAGTCCGCTGCCACAGCAGCTTCTCCGAGTCCCAGCGGTGGTCGTCCACACCGCGTCATGGGGACATCGTCGTCCAGGGTCGCCGTCCGGTCCGTTCGTCGAGTCCGACACTCAACGTAGTGCCCGCACTCCCTGCGCCAGCGTCCAGCGCCGTCCGAGCTCGCCTCTATGACCGGTCCCTTGTCTAGTCGGCCGCCCAAGCCCAAGCTCTCTTCCTTTGTCTCCGTTGCCCTTCTTAAGACCTTCCCAAGTCCTTGCCCCGCCGACCGTCCAATCGGGAACCTGCCACGAGCCGATCCTCCGACGTCAGCGCTGGGTGAGGGGGGCGCTTGCCCCGTTCCTCCCGGAGAGCTCGGACATTCCGCGACAGGCCGGCGACTGGAAACGGGAAGGTCACAGGGAACGAAGGAGCGCCCGACAATACGGCGGCGGGGACCGGGAAGGTCACGGAGCGCGGGGGAGCCAGGGAGAGGGTCCCCACACCTCCCCTCCCTCAAGGCTCGGACCCCGGGGGGCTTGAGGTTGCGTGGTCCCCAGGACCCTGGGCAGGGAGCTCGTTCAGCTGAGTGTCGCCGATGACGACGAGCACCCTCGATGATGATGATGGCATCAAACCAAGCAGGTCAGCGGTGAACGTTGATTCACTGGGAAGCTCGTGACCGACGGAGCACGGTCCACGAACTGGTCCGGAGCACCACAGCTCACAACACGGACGGGCACTCAGGCACACACAACACGCCGGCACTTAAAGTTCGCTTCCGTCCCTAATGTAACAGACAGCGAAATGCGCAAAAACGAATAGCGGCACGCTATATCAGACAGCGCGACGAAACCAAAATCTTTCGATCGTTGGACATGCCACGAAATAAAAGCGAAACTCTTCATCTCAATACTAGCAGGCAGGCAATCATCAAGAACATCACGCTGCGCGTTCTAGAGGTACTTAAGTGGAAAACCATTCCTTAACTAAAAAGTAAGAGCACTCAATGCATACTTAAATCGTACATACGCCCACTATACAACATTTGCTCCTATCAAACTCAACCGCATTCTTTTAAAACAGTAAGCAATCTACCAGAGCGTCTGAACCGCACATCTCTGACAACAGTATTAATCTCCAACACACTCGCGAAGAACGCACAAAACCTCAAAAACTAAGAATAACCTTCCGTAAAACAGAAACGGTCACAAATCCAGTCCCGTTCGCGAGGTGCGACTCGAAAAAACACGCTGCCAACAACCCATGACGGGCACTCATGCACTCGGCGTTCACGCTACCCGAGCTACAAACGCGCTACAGCCAAGCTACGCAGCACGCCTTCATCAGAAGGGGTAATCACCTTACTGAGAGGCCGTTGTTCCGTGGTACCGGCCACTTACACCAGTACAAAGGGAACAGTACCTGGATCATGCGAACAGCAGATCTCATTGGACAGCCTATTTACAAAGCTATGTCCGTAACGTCTGGGCATGTACCAGACGTTACCGCTTCACCGCTCGGAGGTGACCACCCAACAGGAGCGACGAGCGCGTAACGGCGGTCCGCACCGAACCCCGCACGGGCTCGACAACCGCGACAAGCGCATCGACGCACGTTAGAGTCCTCCCTCGGCCAAACCCCGACACCGCATAACTAAAAAGTCTTCCAGCTGATGTCAAGGCCGGCCGGGATCGAGCAATAAAGGTACGCCGTCAACGCGTCTCGCGACTCTTCGACGTTCTCGAATCGAGCAACGTGTCCACATACAAACGCAGTAGGCTACGCACAAAGCTCGCCCCCAGCCAAGTCAACACGCCGCATGACTGAAAAGTCTTCCTGCGACTGTACAGACAGGCAGGGTTCGAACAATGTAAGTATCCCACACACGCACCTCTCAACTTCCGCGCAACGAGCGCGATACCAAAATGCCAAATAATCTAACCGGCCGGTCTTGGAAATGGACGAGCTAATAAACTATGTTTGCTCTGCATAAACAGTTTCCGCAGCGTCGAAGTGTCTACAGCATTTACCGCCGCATTCCAACACCCGCTACCCATTCATGCAAAGGCTGCAGTTAGTACAGCGACGGGCTGACCCAACGCACAACAGTTATAGGCCGCCGACGGCCATGCCGCTGCCATAATTTCTAGGCTTCTCGGGCACGTACCCGCCGACGTAAACCGTACGTTTTCCCGGGCCAACCGCGCATCTGTACAGGATAAAACTATGAACCACTCGTCACATCCTCGCAAGACTGCCACTCCCCTCGTGCAGGTTTTGACTGCCCGAGCCCAGCTCTTTTCCCACCTAGCTGTCTCCTCTGCCCTAAATTTATAATTTATCTCTAACCCAGGTCTCTGCACGACCAATTACGCTCTCTACGCCCTCGCGTCCCAACGCGAACCAAAGCACGGCCGAGAACCGTACTGTACCCGGCGGCAGCGCAAAGCGCGCGCTAGCCGCCGCTCCTCCGGAAACGGAGAAAACGAAATTAAAGAGTAATTCCCGCCGCGAGGCTCAACCCTCGATATGGCGGTGTGAGGATCCGGAACCAACTGTGCGCACAATTAAACGGGATCAACCTCACGACTCTACAACCAGAAACGCACGGGTCATGCCCATCGCGTCACACTGGACTCCACGGAGCATTACACACGCGCAGCCACTGATAAGTGAACACGGAAACTCTGTGGCTTTCGGGATTCCGATGTCCACGCACCGGACATCGCGTACCCGGCACGATTTAGTGGGCTCAGCCCCTAAATGCAGCCTCTGGCCAGAAGGTACTCGTTCAAAGCGATCTTGGTCGGAACCACAAGAGCGCATCCGTACCTTAAAACGCTGTCAACTAACGACGCTCAAAACCGCGCTGACAGCTCAAGCAAGGCCAACTGGGAGCTAGCATGGGATCAAACCGAGACGCTAGTCTCCTCCCGGACAAAATGCAATGCGGGAATAATTTCCAAACACAGTCCATGCAACCGCCATCCGCAATGGGAGCGTTCTCCACCCAAAGCGATGCCTCTTTAACGCGTCCGATCAGTAACAAGCGTTACAAACCATTACATCGATACGCGAACAAAGGCGGTTAGGCGCGTCACATCTCCCAAACCGTGAGCCGGCATCTTTCCAGCAGACATGGACGGCCGGAGGCGTAGGTGGGGGGACGCCCGACGCTACAGGCCTCGAGGGGTGCGGTAATTTCGACGCACATAGCGCTCTTGCTCAGCAGGATCAACCTGCCAGCATCCAACGGTGCGCTGAACAGCAAACACTCAAAGCGCTTCTCGTAACGGGGGATAGGCGAATTACTGACAGGCTGGGGAAAAGGGTTAATCCCTTAAAACAGCGGTCAAAATCCGCGCCTCCTAGTCAGACAGGCGATAATGTCAGGACCTCCGTGCGGCGCTCCCGCAACGAAACTTCGTGGGGCGCTCCCGCGACAAAGATGACCCCCAAAAAGAGCGCGAAACAGTGCCCTAATTCAACCGGAAACAGGTTAGAAATCGGAATGCCTGCCTGATCAAAAATCAGGCCCCACGTTGCGGCGCCAGTTTATGCGGGCATCTTCTAGCTCCGATTCCCTCAGACCCTGTCTCCGGATGAATATGACACTGCAATACTTCGCTCTCGGCAAAAGGGTTTATTCACTCACTCATTGCCCTGGGGGGTTTCGGGATTGGGGGACGGTCATCAGCGAGGCTGCGGGAGAGTCCGCTGCCACAGCAGCTTCTCCGAGTCCCAGCGGTGGTCGTCCACACCGCGTCATGGGGACATCGTCGTCCAGGGTCGCCGTCCGGTCCGTTCGTCGAGTCCGACACTCAACGTAGTGCCCGCACTCCCTGCGCCAGCGTCCAGCGCCGTCCGAGCTCGCCTCTATGACCGGTCCCTTGTCTAGTCGGCCGCCCAAGCCCAAGCTCTCTTCCTTTGTCTCCGTTGCCCTTCTTAAGACCTTCCCAAGTCCTTGCCCCGCCGACCGTCCAATCGGGAACCTGCCACGAGCCGATCCTCCGACGTCAGCGCTGGGTGAGGGGGGCGCTTGCCCCGTTCCTCCCGGAGAGCTCGGACATTCCGCGACAGGCCGGCGACTGGAAACGGGAAGGTCACAGGGAACGAAGGAGCGCCCGACAATACGGCGGCGGGGACCGGGAAGGTCACGGAGCGCGGGGGAGCCAGGGAGAGGGTCCCCACATCCTATGGGAAAACGCGCGTGAATTTTGTCTCATCGCCGGAAAATAACATGAATAACGTTTGTTATTTCGGTTGCACCGGGTAGTATGTACCTTTATTAATATTGTGAAAGTGTAATTGCTTTAGTTACAGCATTTTTCCTTTACCACTGAACGATGCTAAACTTCTCTATATTTCAGGCCCAAACCTCTGTTCCATGGCAGGTATGTAGAAAAGAGTTGGTCGTGGTAGAAACGAGCGACTATTCTAAACAAAATGACGATCGAAAGGAATGTAGAGTGTGTTCAAAGTTCGCCAGCATTCCGTTGGTGCTTTTATATTGCTAATATGCCTGTCCTCTCACTATATGAAAATGACCCCGTCGTGCATTTTTACGAGTGATTAAAAAAAAAAAAAACGTTCGAAACGTAAAGAATAAAGTACGTGGGCTACGAAAGGTGTGTTTTCTTATTATTTCCTATGTTGGGCAGTTTTTATCGCGCACCTGTCCTCTGGCTTCCCCCTAATTGCAAAGGTTTGGAGTGTGCGGGTGATGAATTGAACACAGAACAAGCATCTTCGCACATATTCATGAGCAGAAAGAATAAAGCCGTACTTACTTATTGCAAATCGGATTATATTACGTGACTTTTGTTATGTTGCTAGTTAAGCTGAGGAGGACGGTTTAAGCAAACTGTTTAATAAACACATACGGGATCAAAGCGGCAGCTATGGCGAATGCTCGTCAGTTCCAAACGCAACAGCGCGTGCCACCTCCTGCGAGCGTGCTCACTGTATGTCCTCTTCTTCTAAGATCAGAAAGCATCATGACATCATAACATGCCCCCCTTCTTCTTTTCTCTTGTCTTTTTTTGAAGATAACGCAGTGCGATCGCGGCACTTGTCAGTCTCGGTATCATAGCGGCTTCACCACAACGCGTCGACTTCTTGTTTTTTTGGTTATCCTGTTGACCTTGTAGACGTGGAAATGTGTTCAAGTGATTCGCCATTTGGAACTGTATGGACATAGTCTTCAGCAGCTTCGTTTGAGACTGTAGGGAAATAGTTTTCAGCAGCTGTATTCGTTTCTGCTGTTCCATGTGCTTCTTTGGTGCGGTACCCGTTGCGCCTGTAAGTCCTCGATGTGTTTCTGCTGCTGCTTGTCCTGGTTTCACTTGTTCTCCTTTGCACGAGACTGTTTCAAAAGGGACTCGTACCGCCGGTAGAGTTCCTCTATTTCGACTCGGCTTGCTGCCCTCCAAAGTTGTCGCTGTACCCCCAGTGCCCTCGGTGACATGTTCCATCGAGGCCTCCACTTTTTGGTTTGGCGCCTGTACCAACCGTTCTTCAGCCTTGAGATGCTTGTCTTTGAGCAGGCAAAAGCGCTCTTGCAACTGCTGATTTGCTTGCCACAGCTCTTGCAGCTCCTGCATGGTCTTTTGTCCCACGGCGCCCTGCTGCTCCTCGAAGACTGCGAGATCTCGTCTGGCTGTTGCCCACTCTTTTGTGAGCTGAGCACACCTGTCCTTCAAACTGCGTTTCTCTTGGGCTGCCACGTGAAACTCTTCCTCCAGGTTCCTGTGTCTGTATACAATGTGGTTATACTTGTCCAACAGCTGGGAGTGGTCTGTCTTTAGCGCTGATAGTGCTGCCTCACACTTGGCCGCTTCGTCCAGCGCAGCTAGTGCAGTGCTCGTTCTCCATCTCCTTGGTGGCCTTAGACGTGCTGCTCGCGCTGAGTCTTCAACTCCTCCTCGAGGCAATGTCGTGCCTGTTTTAAGTTCTCAGCTAGCTGTTGAAAATGTTTGTTCTCGCTGATGAGCATCTCAGCTTGCTCCTCCAGGCAGGAAAGTTCTGACCACAAAATGTCGGCTTCGCTTTCTAGCTTTCCGTTGCGTTTTAGGAGGCTGCTGACTTTCTCGTCTAACCTCTCGCACTCTGTTTCTGCCTTCTCGGTAAAGGAGCTTCCGCCTGCTTCCGCTTGCGACGAATTGTTACACTTAACAGCATTCTCTCTCTCTCTCTCTCAAAGTCTCCGCCACATTTTCGTGTCTCTGCTGCCGGAGGTGACTTTCATTAGACACGCATCTAATTTTTTCACTCGCATCTTCACAAGATGATTTCCACTGCTGACTTTCTTGAGCGAGGAGCTCGTTCCAAACTGTCAAGGATGTGACCCGTTCCTGAAGCACTGCCAGCATACGGTTCATGTCTTCCAGTTGACTTGCTTCAAGAGACACTGCAGCTTCTGACGACTGGTTGGTGTGCTCGATGATGCTCCGGACAAATGCTTCGATGATACTCCGGACGAATGCCCCGAGATCTTGTAACGGCCACTGGTACCGGTCCTTTAAGTACTGATAGTTTTGCTGAAGTAGATTGAACTGCTCTTTTTTAGCAAGCTGGTTTTCCAGGGCCTCTCTCTTCCGTTTTGCGATGTCCAGCAGCTTCTTGAGGTACTGAAAGGCACTGAACTCGTTGTTCGGAATCATTCTGAACTAGCGGCAAGTCCTCGCCAGTCTTGAAGAAGGACATCCTGCAAGATGCAGTACTCGGCAGAAAACCTTTCCAGCTCAAGCTGAGATGCTTCAAACTTCTGCTTCAGGGTGTTCGCTTCCTCCAGCTTGGCATCTACAAGCTCCAGCTGCTTTGACAAATCCCCACTTAGAGAAACTAACTGGGCTTTCAATGCTTCAGACTCCTAATACTTGGCATGAGAAAATTCTGCTTGCTGCGCTTGCATCTTCCCCAGGAGAGCCGAAGCTGCCTTGCACTCGCGTTGAAGGGCCTGCTCACGGCCAAAGCTCGCTTCGATATTTCTCTCGTGCTCCAAAGATATTCGCTGCATTTCTGCCGTTGCCAACACCAACTCTGAAATCAGGCCTTGTCCCTCTTCGGGGCGAGATGCCAGCATGCCCTTTTCTTTCTTTGACCGCCTCTCAAACTCTGTCCCAGTTTGCGCAAACTTGGTTGCTTTGGTTAATGAAAGAGGCCCAATTGTTATGCCTCCCAAATGGATCGTTTCATTGCGGTCATTGTTCATGGATGAGTTGGAAGTTTCTTCTACTGCAGAAACACGTCGATATCCGTAGATTTTCTGCTGTGTCTGGTTGCACATTCGGAAAAAATGTCAAAAATTTCCACACGAAAGGTAGTGCTTTCCGTAAGCTGGGCAGTTTCGGGGTTGATGGTAAGTACCACATCTCGAACATGAAATTTGCTGTCGGTTGCTGGATTGGTCTTTTTGTGGTCCGGATGGTCGGTAACTTCGTTGCGCTGCTCTGAAGCTAGATGGCTGACGATAGAATCCATCAACTCTAACTTCGTCTTCAGTTTTCTGAATATCATTCACGTGTTTTTTGAGATTTCAGCTGCTTTACAGGTTGAAATGATTTTGTCTAGGGTTAGACTCGGTTCACGAAGCAACCGTTCGCGCAAAGCCACGTCTCGTATCCCAATGATGATACGATCACAGATGAGCCTGTTTTCTTGAGCTCCGTAGTCGCATTTCTGAGCCTGCAGTTTTAGCTCAGTTACAAATTCGTCAATGGTTTGTTCTGGCTTTTGGCACATTGTGTTAAAAATGGCTGTCGCTTGTGTCACGCTTTTGTAAGGTGCATACAGTTTATCAAATTCGTGCAGTATGTAATCTACTGCATTCTCTCTTTGCCCACTTTGACCTTCTCCTGTTGGTTGCAGAGAAAAGGTTTGCGTAATTCGTCTTGCCTGAGGTCCAAGGCAGTGGAGCAGAAAAGCTTTCCGAGTTGCGATAGGCTTCGATGCATATTCACAGGCTGCCTCGAAGATAAGGTACGATGACTTCCACTCCTCCCATGCTCTTGCTGGGTCGTCACCAGGATGGAACGGAGCCGGCGGTTGTAGGAAAGCAGATGCCATATTGTTGCCGCTGTTGCTTGTTAAATGAAAAATATGGACGTTGAGCTGCATCCCACTTCTGACACCATGTTATGTTGCTAGTTAAGCTGAGGAGGACGGTTTAAGCAAACTGTTTAATAAGTACATACGGGATCAAAGCGGCAGCTATGGCGAATGCTCGTCAGTTCCAAACGCAACAGCGCGTGCCACCTCCTTCTTCTAAGATCAGAAAGCATCATGACATCATAACAACTTTCAATTTATTTTGATCGTCTGCAAGCACAAGGAGTTACTTATCCAGTGTTACTGCGTAGTTCTTGCCGCCTCTCTTGGTTTTCCACATGTCCTTCGTTCGTTTGGCACGTATATCCCCCATGCTGGAAAGCGTCGACGCCGTGTTCGCGCTAGCAGTGTCCGGCAGTGCACATAAATAGACGTACGAAGCGGTTGTAACACCGTTTTAATGCCGCGAATTTCAAAGAAAAATGCTGTAACTGATCACTTATATCATCTGCGTGACTGAGAAATGTTCCAATGTGCCTAGTACGTACAAAATATTCGTGATATTTGCTCTTATAATCGAGCGCGGAGAGAAAATGCACTCGCTTTTTCCCATAGAAATGCATTACCGGAAGTCAATTTCTGACTGCTTGCTGTCTGCTTCAAAATGCAACAGCACACTAGCGCCAGCTGAGCCTCTAGCGTTTATTATAATATCTCTATGGTCCCCATAAATCTTTTGCTAAATTTCAAAAGCACCGAGGTGCATGCTACCAGTGTAGTTACGCGCGCTGCACCTGCTGGCGTCTGCAGTAATAACTGTTCTGAAGCAAAAAGCCTAAAACAAATTTTGCCGTTCACGCGCGTTCGCCAAAGATTTATTATGATTATTTAATTCAAATCTTTTATAAGGGGACAGCCAGAGCGCGCGGATCGTAGAATTACACTTTCAGCGTTCTCCTCGATGTTCGGGTAATTTACTAATAGGTCAATTTTCAGTGGAGCCGACCCTTAGCGAAAAGTCGTTCAGAATCAGTATACTGAAAGTATACTAATAGTGAACTTAGGGCATGTACTGAAATCGTACTAGTTTCGCACTTTTATGAAACAAAAAAGTATACCTTTAGTACACCCCAAGTACATATGTACTATACAATAAGTGCTCCTCGAGTGTACTTTTGGCATACTATAAGTGCACGTTTAGTACACTACATGTGTGCTTTTAGTGAACTAAATGTACACTACCAGTACATATATACGGAGTGTCCCAGATAACTTGCACCAAACTTAAAAAAAAAAAAAAAAAAAAAAAAAACGGAGCGTTTTGCGGGAGTGAAATTAACTAACTGTACGCTGTTAGAAAGTCTCTTACGAAAGTGCACGAAATTGTTTTAGTGCGCCTATTTATTTAATTAAGAGTAACAAGCTAACTTTTGAAATCTTTGTTTAAAAGCCAAGGTGTGAAATGGAAAGTTGTAGAGCGCATTAAGAAACACCCAATTGAACCATTTTCAACAGGGTGCACTTTGCATGCTCCTTTTCCGTAGCCTTCAAAAAAACGCCCGCGAAATACAAAAAAATACTCCGTGACAACTCGCTTCCCCAATCACGGCGTGCGAACGCGCCGCGAATGTGCGTTCTTTGAAGGCCGGAAAAAAGCACGAAAACGTATTATGTTTCAAACACTTTAATTGGGTGTTTCTCAATGCGCCCTGCAACTTTACAATTGATATCTTGGCCCTTAAAAGAATATTTGAAAGGTTAGTTCATTAATCTTAGTTATTTATGTAACCAGGCGCATTAAAAAAATCTGCGCACTTTCTCAAGACACTTGCTAACGAAAGTTGATTTCACTCCTGCAGAGCCCTCCGGTGTTTTTTTAAGTATGGTGCAAATTATCTGGGACGCCGTGTATGTCGGGCGTTCTGAATGGAAAGAACGGTCTCAAATTGACCAGAAAAATCGACGCCTGCATTTAAAAAGCTGACTTTTCAAAGATGTTTCTTTGAATGGCTGTATTCCAACCTGTGAAACTTCATGTCATAGAGCTCCATTCTCGTGAAATGTTAAGAAACGCCGTTGACAACTCAATTGATGATGATAATGCAGAGGCGCCACCATCAGGAGATGCACTCTTAAAAATGAGTCAGGAAATTAACGAGGAAATCTTTGACAGCTCTATTCCTCGCGAGAATGACGTACCGGCGTCTTCTGAAACTGTATGAGAAAAGCCATAAAGAAGAGGTGCATTGAATTTTTCAACTGAAAGTATGTATGTGTAGCATACAAACATTATGATCAGTGTTCTTCGCGGAAATGATAAGACAGAAATTGAAATCCTACTTATCACTTTATTCAAGTTTCCGAGCCTGCCTCACTGTACACTCTCCCTTGTGATGATGGTATGCCATTACATCCTGCGTAAAAAGAGAAGAGAAAATTACCCTATGCCACTCTATGATATAACATCACATAATTCGCTCAAAGGACCACTATGTGAGGAAGGCAAGATAGTAACAACTTCATCCTGACAAAAGGGCGAGGAAAATCGTACAATATCGTTTCTGAAAGCCTGATACCTGAAAGCTCTAACACAGAGCAAACAAAATGATTGGCATTTTTTTAATGCCTCCTTTTCTTTTGCTGTGAACACACATACAAGTCATACGCTATTACACATTCAGTGGTGCGGCTTAATTTATGATAAGTACTTTTTTCATATAACTTCGAGCTTTTTGAGAAAAGATTCAATATAATGGGTCGGACATAAATGGTTGCTATGAACTATCCTATATATTTGCACATTATCCGATATCATAAAAGCACTAGAGCAGGGTAGGGCTGTATTGCATCAATTATAAATTTCTAACCAATTAAAAGTTGGCATTTACTCAATTTATTAGTATTGGCTATTATTCTTTGACAAAGAATAACTGGGCGAGTTGGTAAGTTGGTTGTCTTTCAACTCCATCGAATATTAAGGTCCTTTTAACATTTTTTCATGTTTTTGATTTTTCTAGCTGCTCTGCCTTTTGTAGCGGCTTTCGCCGCCACTAAAAAACGTGACATCCAAACTCACTTTATTCACATCACACAATCGCAAACTTGGAAAGCGTGCCGCTTCGGCATACGCAAAGAGATCGTCCATCTCTACGACACAGGCATCAGCACGGGCAAGCAATCATGCTGCTCGCTCTTGTTACGTTTTTCTCGCTCCCGCTTAATGAAACAAATCGTTGGCGAGAGATTGTTGGGACCACACGTCAGAACTAGCATGGCCTGTGATTGCTTGAACTGCCGTTAGACTGTACTTGAACGCTCCGCAAAAGCGTCGTTGGGCGACCGTCGTAGGGACGGCGCCCAGGACAGGCCCTCGGATGGCCCTCGGTTCCGCCGCACGCGAATCTTTCTCACTCTGCGGAGAGAGACATAAATTTTGAAGACACGCTCTTTTCAAATAACGAAATAAAACCGGGTAGAGCATAGTGAGAGGGAAGCATAGCTTAGCAAGCACACGGTACAAGAAAAAGTTTGAAACAGCGGCGCACTTCGCAGAAACAAAAGGAACTTCCTCACCTTCGCT